CCCGGTAAAAGTAGGTCTTAGACAGGGATGTGTAATGTCACCATGGTTGTTTAATATATTTATAGATGGGGTTGTAAAGGAAGTAAATGCTAGGGTGTTTGGGAGAGGGGTGGGATTAAATTATGGGGAATCAAATTCAAAATGGGAATTGACACAGTTACTTTTTGCTGATGATACTGTGCTTATGGGAGATTCTAAAGAAAAATTGCAAAGGTTAGTGGATGAGTTTGGGAATGTGTGTAAAGGTAGAAAGTTGAAAGTGAACATAGAAAAGAGTAAGGTGATGAGGGTGTCAAATGATTTAGATAAAGAAAAATTGGATATCAAATTGGGGAGGAGGAGTATGGAAGAAGTGAATGTTTTCAGATACTTGGGAGTTGACGTGTCGGCGGATGGATTTATGAAGGATGAGGTTAATCATAGAATTGATGAGGGAAAAAAGGTGAGTGGTGCGTTGAGGTATATGTGGAGTCAAAAAACGTTATCTATGGAGGCAAAGAAGGGAATGTATGAAAGTATAGTAGTACCAACACTCTTATATGGGTGTGAAGCTTGGGTGGTAAATGCAGCAGCGAGGAGACGGTTGGAGGCAGCGGAGATGTCCTGTTTAAGGGCAATGTGTGGTGTAAATATTATGCAGAAAATTCGGAGTGTGGAAATTAGGAGAAGGTGTGGAGTTAATAAAAGTATTAGTCAGAGGGCAGAAGAGGGGTTGTTGAGGTGGTTTGGTCATTTAGAGAGAATGGATCACAGTAGAATGACATGGAAAGCATATAAATCTATAGGGGAAGGAAGGCGGGGTAGGGGTCGTCCTCGAAAGGGTTGGAGAGAGGGGGTAAAGGAGGTTTTGTGGGTAAGGGGCTTGGACTTCCAGCAAGCGTGCGTGAGCGTGTTAGATAGGAGTGAATGGAGACGAATGGTACTTGGGACCTGACGATCTGTTGGAGTGTGAGCAGGGTAATATTTAGTGAAGGGATTCAGGGAAACCGGTTATTTTCATATAGTCGGACTTGAGTCCTGGAAATGGGAAGTACAATGCCTGCACTTTAAAGGAGGGGTTTGGGATATTGGCAGTTTGGAGGGATATGTTGTGTATCTTTATATGTTTATGCTTCTAGACTGTTGTATTCTGAGCACCTCTGCAAAAACAGTGATAATGTGCGAGTGTGGTGAAAGTGTTGAATGATGATGAAAGTATTTTCTTTTTGGGGATTTTCTTTCTTTTTTGGGTCACCCTGCCTCGGTGGGAGACGGCCGACTTGTTGAAAAAAAAAAAAAAAAAAAAAAAAAAAAAAAAAATATATATATATATATATATATATATATCTATATATATATATATATATATATATATATATATATATATATAAAACGAAAAAAAAATCACAAATACACACACACAAACATCCAAACACACACAGAGGCAGGAACCATACATGAGGTTTGATAATGCACATGGACCAGGGAGAGAGAGGACCTAGTAAAAATCAGTGAAGAGGCTGGGGCAGGAGCTATGACTCAACCCTTGCAACCACAAACACAAATAGGTGAGTACTCTCTCCTGTAAAGAAAAATGGCAAGGTCAAAGGCACTCTCAAAAATGGGGAGAGGAGGGGATTGAAGGAGGTGGGTCATACTACTTGGAAATGATAGTGAATGGCCTGAAGACCCAACTGAGATAGGAGTTTGAGGAAGTTCAATTCCCTTCAGAGAGAAACTGCAGTAATTTGAAATGCAGCAAGTGATAAGATCACAAAACAGTTAAATAGGGCAATTGTGGCAGAGGAAAGTGCCCTACAGCTAGAAGAGGAAATGGTAAAGCTGAGAGACTATAGAAGGAACAGTTCAATTCTCTCCAGGAGGAAATGGTGGCAACATGTAACAGAGCCAGGGAAAATTTTGCAGAACAGGTAAATAAGGATAATCTAGCAGAAAACAGAGCTCCAAATCTAATAAAGTAAGAGAGCCGAAGGAGACCATAAAGGAAATGAGAAGGAGATCAATAGCGGTAGAAACTGTGAAGGAAGGAGAGGTTTGGAGAGAGCAATGAAGGAAAGCCACTGGCAATGATGCTCTCTGAAGGTAGGGAGACTAAGAAGGTGATAAGAAACAGCAAGATAAAAACAGGCAAAGAAATCTGGAAGGAAACAGGTCATTGATGATCCAAGGACTCCTGGAGGCTGAGAGTGGTCCAGGTAGTAGATGATAAGTTGAGGAGTGGAAAATTATAAAAATCATGGAGCACATAGGAAAGGAGGAAGTGATAGAGCAGGTGGTGAATTTTTAGTGGATCAGGAGGTTCTCCTGAAGCAAATACTGCCCCTCCCCTTTCCCATCCCTGCCTTTTACCTTATCCCTGACCCTGGTAGAGGCCCACACCACCTCCAGCCCAACCTCCCCCACTCCTGCTTGATGAGCATCATGAAAAGCGAATAGACACAAATCAGTGCATGGTATGGGAAAGTAGTATCAGAGTTTAGTACACTAATACAGATAGTTATCTAACAAGAACGATGAGTTGATGGAAAGAACAGCTGAGGTCTAGCCAGACATAACAGTTATTAATGAAACAAAGTTGACAGAAATTATGTCAGATGCTGTATTTCCAGCAGGGTGCCAAGTATTTAGGAAAGACAATATGAGACCAAGGCAGGAATATGAGTACAAGAACTGAGTAATGGTTGATATCACAGCAGAAGCAGCTAGAAGTGCATTTAGGGTTGCAGTAGTTACTTACAATGAGAGATTTCACCAACGGAGAAATAAATTGGGAGAACTGGGACCTACAAGGAAAATTGGAAATGTGGAGGGCTAAGCTGATAAAGCTGATCAGAAAAACTTTGAGTAATTAGATTAAGGGAGGAGATGAGATGAGCCAGCAAGTCCGGATATAGTGTTTACCACAGGAACATCTGACATAGGTGAAATAAATTATTTGAGTCCTATGGGTGCTACTGATCATGCAGTCTTGAACTTTGAGTACTTAGGAGAGACTAAAGGAAGAGGAGAACACAGTACATGGAGAGCATGAAAAGCTAGACTTTAGAAGAGAGAATTCTGAGGGGTTCAGAGAATCCTGAAAGTAGTGGATTTTAACAGTTAATTGAAAGGCAAGTCAGTGGATGAAATGATGGAATACCTATCTGAAAAAAAAGTAAAGCTGAGGAGACCCTCATACCAAGATGCAGAAACAACAAAGATGAAGAGAGCCCTTGGTTCCACCAAAGATGCAGGGAGGCAAAAAAAAAAAAAAAAAAAAAAAAAAAAAAAGTGGAAAAAATACAAAAAGAGAAAAGAATAGATTGTCCAGAAAAGAATATACTAGGGTGAGGAGAGAGGCTGAGAGACAATCTGAGAATGATATAACAGCAAAATCTAAGTCTGAAATGAAACTACTTCAGAGCCACATCAAAAGAAAGATGACAGTAAAGGACCAGGTAATTTAACTGAGAAAGGAAGGAGGAGAGGTCGCGAATAATGACAAGGAAGTCTGTGAAGTTGATAAAACTATTTGAAAATGTCTTCTCAGTGGAAACTAGGGCAATACCAGAGACACTAAGAAACAAGGGGGGACTGACTAATACTGGATGCCATCCACACAACAGGACAATGGTAAAGAAACTTTTGATGGACCTGGAAACATCAAAGGCATGATTTTGATGAAGTGGAGGCAGGCTTCACACAGTTTTAAGAGCAGGTATAATAGGGCCCATGAGGCTATGAGGGAGTGAATCTTGCAAGTGACAAGTTAAGAGGCAGAGCTAGAAGCTAAGAATTGACCTTTGCAACCACAAATAGGCACTTGCAAATAGGTGAGTACATGGGGCAAATGACAGGGCAGGAGCTGAGAATCGGCCTCTGCAACAACAAATAAGAAAAAAAAAAATACAGAAGAACCCCAAAATTTATGAGCTTCCTAAGTCCCATGCTTTGGCTAAACATTTTTTAATGAAAGGCCTCCTACTAACAGCTTTGATTTTCTTTTAGTGACTATTTTTTGGGCATAGCACACAATGCATAAATAGAAACTACCCAAGGGCTTATGGTCAGAAGGTGCTTAATGGACTGCCTATACCCACCACACTCTAACATTTTTCCATCTGAATATCAGTACTAAGCTCATCAGAAATGTGCTTAATGATATGGCCTCTGAAACCCATAAGCCCAAATCTTAACAAAATTTATTATAAGGACAAAATTAAGTTATATTCATGAGGATCTTAAGGGAACTAACCCTTGTGAATTTGGGGGTTCAACTATATACATACACACACACACATATGCAACCCCCCCACACACACACAGTATTGTGCATAATACTGAGCATACACTACTCTGCTCCTTTAACTACAAATGGGGTATCACAAATAGGTATCCCCACACACAAAATTGGTGCAGTGCTGTGAATGATGTGCACATTATTGAGTCTGCCAGGTTAAGCACTGCTGCATCCAGCCAGTAACTGGATAGGTAAATACATGGACACTGTTTCTCCCTTTGGTAGAGAGAAACTTACGCTGCTGGTTTCCTGTCCCAGACACAAGTACACATTGCCATACATACACACAGACACACACACAATATATATATATATATATATATATTATATATATATATATAATATATATATATATATAAAATATATATATATATATAATATATATATATATATATATATATATATATATATATATATATATATATATAATATATATATATATATATATATATATATTATAATATATATATTTCTTTTTCTTTCAACAAACCAGCCGTATCCCACCGAGGCAGGGTGGCCCAAAAAGAAAAACAAAAGTTTCTCTTTTTAAATTTAGTAATTTATACGGGAGAAGGGGTTACTAGCCCCTTGCTCTCGGCATTTTAGTTGCCTCTTACAACACGCATGGCTTACGGAGGAAGAATTCTGTTCCACTTCCCCATGGAGATTATATATATATATATATATATATATATATATATATATATATATATATATATATATGTATTTTCATACCCATACATGTACAGACCTGAACACACATCATTTCTAAACATCCTAACCATTCTCAGCATTTTACATAAACTAAACACACTTCTTCTTAAAACATATGACTATCAGAAGGTTTGGGTTTTGGACTGCAGGATTCTTGGGAGGAATATACAGTATAATTACGCTGGGCCTGGAGGCGGTTGATGTGATGCCATCTTTTGTTGAACCATATTGACCAGAATGTCAGTGTACTGCTGCATCATCGCTACCATTCGAGGATCCTTACTATCTGTTGCCTGTTGTGGTGGGGCTGTTGGAGACATTAGTGATGGTGCTGGTGCAGCATTAGGTGCAGTGAGAGGAGTAAGGGCATGAGTAGCTCTGGCAGCAGCTCCCAGCAGGAGAGAACGGAGAGCACGGTGATGGTCCTCCTCTCCACCTCCTTCACTACAAGCTCTCCACCACAGTTGACTCAAACGTTCACATCCCTCCACTACCCATTCACATACACTTTCAACTACGCCAACACTCACTGAAAAGGAAATTTGAATTTTTTATGTATAAATGAAACAAGAAAATAAAGCAAAGCTCTCATACACACACAATATATTAAGAAGTGACAATTTCTCTCAATTCATAACAATGCCTTGCTTTTCTATTATGTAAAATTTTTATTCATCTACAGAGAACTCAAACTTCTTCACTTTTAAAGATACATTAAATGAATTTTATCCATTTAGCTTAAAATATATTGTACATTATTTGGTTTATGCTTTAGATAGTGTTGTTATTATAATCATAACAAAACAGTAAACCCACAAGGAATATACATCGCTAGAAAGTGTGTCGATTCTTGTACTAAAAAAAAAATCAGTACACCTACAAACTACTATGGATTTAATGAATGGCTGGTTTCAGTTGGTGGCAAAAGAAAAACTTGAGGGTTCAATTGTTGGATTTTATCCAGCCTGCCATTTAGCATATTATTATTTTTTTTAATTAACACATCGGCCATTTTCCACCAAGGCAGGGTGGTCCGAAAAAGAAGAAACAATTTCATCATCATTCATTCCATCACTGTCTTGCCAGAGGCGCACCTACATTACAGTTACAAAACTGCAAAATATCAACACCCCTCCTTCAGAGTGCAGACACTGTACTTCCCAGCTCCAGGACTCAAGTCTGGCTTAACAGTTTCCCTTCATCCCTTCATGTTATGCTGCTCACACTCCAACAGCAAGTCATAAAAACCATTTGTCTCCGTTCACTCCTATCTAACATGTTCATGCTGGAGTCCAAGCCCCTCGCACACAAAACCTCCTTTACCCCCTGCCTCCGACCTTTCCTAGGCCAACCCCTACCCTGCCTTCATTCCACCCCAGTTTCATACACTCTCCAAGTCATTCTATTTCATTCCATCCTTTCTAAATGTCCTCAGCTCTCTCGATAATACTTTTAATAACCTCACCCCCCTCCTTCTAATTTCCAAACTACGGATTCACTGCATTATATTCACACAGCACAGTGCCCTCAGACACATCTCCACTGCCTTCAGCCTTCTCCTTGATGGAACATTCACAACCCATGCTTCACACCCACATAAAAGCATTGGTGTAACTATACTGTCATACATTCCTCTATTTGCTTCCATGGATAACGTTCTTTGTCTTCATGTGCTCCTCGGTGCACCACTCACCTTTTTTCTCCCTCATCAATTTTGATTCATCTCATCTTTCACAGACCCATCTGCACATTACATTTACATTAGATTATGTCCAAAACAATTTTTACTCATAAAAGCTTGAGCCTTTAAAAAAAAAAAAAAAAAAAAAAAAAAAAAAAAAAAAAAAAACACTAGTAGGCCTTGTGTCTACTCTGAAGATGGAATACGCATGTTCCTGATTTACAATCAGCTTATTATATATTATTATTGCAAATGACTGCTTTCCTACCTTTGACATAAAAGCCCATCTTTTCAGCTGTAACATTATTTAGACTTTTTACTGTATTGTATGTCTTGAATTACATTATATAGGTACATCACTGATTTTCCAGAACTGATGGCCTGGCACCTTCAAGTCAGGACAAAATTATGAGGGCACTTTAAATTTCCACAACAATCAGACTAGTTTACTGGATGGCCATAAATGGTTATTCTGCTTACATTTAATCCAAGTTATGGCTCCTAAGAAGCTAATGAATATTTATGTGATACAGTGGACCCCTGGTATTCGATGGCATCGGTATTCGATAAATCCGGTATTCGATGCATTATATCACAAAAATTTTGCCTCGGTATCCGATCGAAAACCCGGTATTCGATATGATTCGTACGAGACGTGTCCACGTATGGCCTGAACTGCCCCGTGTGTGCCAGTGTTTACAAGCCAGCCAGTGTGCGCGCATCTAAGGGTACATTCGGTACATTCCATATTATCCATATTATCACTGTTTTTGGTGCTTGTTTCTGCAAAATAAGTCACCATGGGCCCCAAGAAAGCTTCTAGTGCCAACCCTGTGGTAAAAAGGGTGAGAATTAGTATGGAAATTAAGAAAGATTTTGAAATGTTTGGGGCTAACCCTGAGAAGCCTATGCCAGTTGTGGAATACATTGTGCCTACTTCAAAGATTAAGGAAATGTGTGCAAAGTGGGTTGAACTGCATACCTTTATGGATGAAAATCACCCTAACATAGCTATTGCAAGCCATGCTGGTGACTATTACAATGACAATGTTGTGGCCCATTTTAGACAAATCTTAAAGGAATGGGCGGTACAGGCCACTATGGACAGATATGTTGTGCGACAGAAATCCAGTGACTCTCAAGCTGGTCCTAGTGGCATTAAAAGAAGAAGGGAAGTAACCCTGGAAAAGGACTTGCTACCTCAAGTCCTAATGGAAGGGGATTCCCCTTCTAAACACTAATAACTCTCCCCTCCTCCCATCCCATCAATCATCACCAGATCTTCATTAAAGGTAAGTGTCAATTATTTTATCATTATTGTAATTATTCTATTGCATTAAACTTAATATTTCATGTAGTAAAATTTTTTTTTTCATACTTTTGGGTGTCTTGCACGGATTAATTTGATTTCCATTATTTCTTATGAGGAAAATTGATTCGCTTTTCGATATTTTCGGTATTCGATGAGCTCTCAGGAACGAATTAATATTGAATACCGGGGGTCCACTGTATACCTTTGATGCATGAAAAATTATATAGGGTAAGTTCAAAAAATGTGAAAACAATTTTGCTTGGATAAAATGTTTAAAATGATAGCCAAGAAGTATGTGTCATAACAGTAGGTCCACATTTGAAAATCCTGTGACTTCAATTTCAAGTGCCCAGGATGTCATTGCTGCAACATCGTAAATCCATAATGAAACAGTCAATTTATATGTGTATGCTTCTAAACTGTTGCATCCTGAGCACCTCTGCAAAAACAGTGATAATGTGTGAGTGTGGTGAGTGTTGAATGATGATGAAAGTATTTTCTTTTTGGGGATTTTCTTTCTTTTTTGGGTCACCCTGCCTTGGTGGGAGATGGCTGACTTGTTGAAAAAAAAAAAAAAATTATGAAAGATAGAAATCCTGACAATCCCAACTTCCAGACCTTTGAGATTACCTCTACAATTTCAGTAACATTCAAAAAATTGCCACAGGGAGAGTAGTACTGCAATATTCTTTGTAAGTTCAGTAAATAAACCCATTTTATTTAAACTAAAGTCTAATTTAAGTTTCTAACAATCCATGGTGCTTTAGAGCCACTGGAGTGTATAATTCTTGGGTCAGAGGTATATTGGTAAATTATTTTTACATAATCCCTGTTGTTCTGGCAAAGCTGATATTCTGGTAAGGCTTTGGTACTAAGATACTATGTGCCCCAATGGGTGCTCCTTACTTTATATCACTCTCTAATATACTCTTACCTCACCTATGGTATTTGTGCTTGAGGATCTACCATGGTCAATCACCTTAAACCTTTAATAACCCAACATAAAGCAGCGGTGTGGATAATCATAAACTTCAGCGCCAGACAACAAACCCCATCACTCTTCAAAAGCTTGAACTTACTTAATATACAAAATATACACAGTTACTACTGTGTCTACTATATATACATAAAATTAAACTCCAACATCAACCCTCCACTCAAGCTTCTAGACAGCTTCAACAGAACACACAGGCATAAAAACACAAGGCACAAAACACTTTTTGACATCCCTCGTGTCCGTCTCTCACTATGCAAAAATGCAAAGCACATAAAGGGCCCAAAGATCTGGAACTCTTTGCCTGAAACAGCAAGAGGTTCCCTGCCCACAAATTAATTTAGGACTATACTCAAAAATCACCTTAACTCTCAATAACAACCATAACCACACTATGCTAAACTCTAATCAAATTTATAGCAACTCTCTCAAATATTTTATTATCCTTTAATTATTAACCCTGTGACTGTCGCAACCCCAAATCCTGAGGTGTCTCCTGGTGTCGCAAAATATTTTTGAAAAAAAAAAAAAAAAAAAAAAAAAAAAATGAAATGATAGAGAATCTTTTCCCAGTGGTAATGACACCAAAAGTATGAAATTTGATGGAAAATTTACGGAATCACGCTCTCACAAAGATAGCGACCTCAGCGATATTTACGAATTGGCTATTTCGCCCACTTTGAGCCCTATTTTTGGCTAATTCCTTGTACCAGTCGACCAAACTCATAGCTATTTCTTTAGAACTCCATTTGTTCTATCAACTGAGTACAAGAAACTGCCCATTTACTGATTTCAACTACCCAATAAAGTGGTCAGAAATTGGCAATTTGGCCAATTTCATGAAAATTAAAAAATATGCCAATTTCAAAGTAGGGTCCAGAATGAACAATGCAGACATTCCTGGCTCTAAAATAACATTTTCTTTGCTCATCAGTCATGTCTCCAGGCCCCTCTGATATTACTCTTGCTTTCTATTTTGAATTTTTATTCAAACAAAAAATAGAAAATTTACTGTTATGCAGACTACTGTAATATTGTAATAATTGTATAAATAATGTCAACCCATTCATGGCTGCATATTACAATGGCTAGTTGGATATTTATTGGAAAATGATGTCATTTGTTTATTCTTGAACATCGGCAAAAATGTAAAGTAAAAGGACACAAGTGCAACTAATGTGACATTTTATTGTGGCAACGTTTCGCTCTCCAGGAGCTTTATCAAGCCGTTACAAACAATACATGGACACAGAGGGTATATATAGGCTCAGAGTGAGGTGCAATACAAGTGGTAGTTGTAGTAGTAGTGATATAAATAGTAGTAGTAATACAATATGTTAGAACAAATAATTTGCACATGAGTAAAGGATATAAAAGCTATTACTTGGGAAACATAAAAATTGGTTGGACAAATATTTCTATTGGAGGCTGGATAGAGAAGGCCTGTTTCAATGTTCATTCTCTGTAAAGTACTGTTTGTAATGGCTTGACAAAGCTCCTGGAGAGCGAAACGTTGCCACAATAAAATGTCACATTAGTTGC